TTAGCCACAATTTGGTCTCTATGGCTTGCTAGAAATAATGTCATTTTTACAGATAAGGTGGTGGCAACTACTAATTTAGTGGAATTAATCAAGCTACATAGCTAGAACTGGATAAGGGTCAAAGATAAGTTAGAACAACGTGATTTTCTTCTCTAGATATTTGTCTTAATTTGGAATTATGATACTTTTTAATTTTGTACACACCATGGTGTTAGTTTTGTATTTGGTTTTCTTTTTTGGAATTTGGGATTGCTAATCTTGCTTGATTATTAGATGGAAATTTACGATCCTGATTTTGTAATGGTGGTAGACATTACAATTTGGTAATTACTTTTTGTATGGGTTATGTTGAATTTTGTTTAGGTGACTTTGTATTTTGTAACGGGTTGGAGTACTCCTTGTACTTCCCTGAATTTAATTTTTTTGTTTATAAAAAAAACTAAATTAACCAATTACCGAATAGAATTGGTTTAACACTTGTATTTCTTAATCAAGTTGAAGACAAATTTCTCATTTAGACATAAAGTCACAACCAAAACTATCTTTTTACTCTTAAAATAAGCCGATTTGATGAAAGGAAATTATACATCCTAGTTATATAAAGGCTTAATTATGTTTTTGAAACAATTTTAGTCCCTCAAGTACCGTAATATATTATACGATTTTGGTTTTTCAAATTTTAATTGAACAAATTTAGTCATTCAAGCATTGCAAAGTTACGATTTTAGGCCCTCAAATATTGCAGTTGTACCATTTTTGACTTATTTAAGTTACATGTACTATAATTTTCATTTATGTATTAGATGATATATATTTATTTTTACTAAAATTAATAATATATATATATGTTGTAACGACCCGGCAGGTCACTACACTCACCATCACAGTACACCGGAAACTCGAGACAGGATAGAACGAGTATATAAATATAATGTCTAGAATATAAGTATATACAATGTCCTACATCCGACTAGAGTTAGAGTGTAGAATACAAAATACATCCAAAACCACTATATCAAGTACGAAGTCATTTGTTGCCACTTTCATTTCTCTCATTGAAAAATGACGGCAAAATGATGACTTTGACTTTTCAATTTGATTGGGAGTGTGGACAGCAAGACCGCACCATGACATGACCCTTCTAGGCCTAATCACTTTTAACCCGAATAGAACTAAGCAAAGGAGAATGGGTAGTACCACTGCACCAAGTCCACATCCAATGAGGATGAACTTGAGTTTCTTTGAACTTCTATTGAACTTTGCAACACGGGGAGCCTTTACATCAGATCCAGACTTGAAGCTTTTGGGAGGGTTAAGCCCTGCAAGATTCTTATCACCAACATTGCTAAGTTTAAAGATTTCCACACCATTCAAGAAAGCATTATAGTACATAGGTTTAGAATCCTTGTATGGGTGTAGATCTAGCCACAAATCCTGCTTTCCCTCAATAACTTGGGGAACCATCACGACATAGTCTCGATGTACCGCAACTCCAGGCCCCCCGCTCCAAGCAATTAGATCAAATTGTTCTTCAGCTGTTTGATTATTTAAAAACACAGTAAAAACTACCTGATTGATCTTTGTTATATCGTGGTCAATTTCACAAAAGTGAAGCCTAACTAGATAAAGGAAACCTGAATCGACAGGGAAAAACCATGTCAAATTGTAATTTAAATTGACAAGTCCATTTTCAAAAGGAGACATCGAACGGGATGTGCGGTAGACATCTGCTGGGGCTGAATATGGTGGAGCCTTATCAGCATACAAAACTGGCATGCTAATATTTGAGGGTTGAATACCGATATTACTCCCCAAAATGTAAACTTCATCTGTGTCCCAAGTGCGAAACATGCCCGTGTCATATTTGGGTGGAATTTGCTCACCTCCTACATTCAATCTATAGAAATTTTCCATGGCAGAACCATTATAAATGTACACAACATTGGAATGGTCAACTAAAGGAAGAGGTGCATAATCCCCTTGAATGTATAAATCAAGTGGCATTGAAACAACTTCAATCCCATTCACAAATGCGTAGGCATCAGAAGCATTGTACGATGGGGCGAAAGTGAGTTCCAAAACACTCTCACTTACATGAACAATGAATTCTTTCATGAAATATGCTAAGTTGAGGTAATCAGCGTTGAGGGAAACACTAAAGTTACGGAGAAGAGTGAAGTTTGAAGCACTTACTGATAAGAAAGCATTGGAGATGTTGAGTTGCAAGTAGGAAGCTGGATAAAAGTGAAGGCGAATGAATTTGGGACCTGGGGTGACATTGAATGTGTAGCTGAATTCAGACTTGAAGATCCTAGCAGTCATGTAGGGAACTTCAGGAATAGTTTGACGGGTGTTAGGGGCTCTGACTATGAGGGACTTGGTGTCAGCATTAGAAGGAACATATGGTGAAGCAATGTCACCATTCCAATTCCTGCCGTCATATTCTACAAATTCTGATGTGTTGGATCCGCAATTGAGAACTATGTTCTCTGAGGGAATATAACTGGAATTATCAGCTACTGCAGTTTGTTGTAGATGTGAGAGATAAAAGATAAAAATGTACATAGAGCATGTGATAGCATCCATAATTCTTGTGTCTACAATTATCTGAGAATGGAAAAAATGACGAGCTTCAGTATTTTGTGCTTGGGCCTGTGATTTGAAAGTTAGTTTGTATTTTCAACAAAACTGCTTTCTCTCCTGTCAGCTTCAAGCCTATACAGCAGTGACTTCTCTAGTCAAATTTATATGTTTCATCACTTGTGGGTCACCACCACCAGTCAAGTTCATATTTCATAGTCCAACCAATATAAATCTGTTCAACACTAATCCTTTATATGTTTCGGTGGACTTGCCAAGGAACCCGCGGCAGAGAAATTTAGATAAGTTTTTTTTTTTTTTAGTGGATTATAGCTGGAGACAACCAGCCCTGAGGAGTGAAGATAGATAGGTTCTTCCTTCTCGTGGTGTTGAAAAGTATGGCATAACTTTGATAGTAATTAACGTACATCTTATTTTGTTGACCTATGATTTTTAATATTTATAGATCCATGCTTTTAGTCGATGGTGGTGATTCAACCGGTGTCTATAGCACACTTCGTATATGAATTTCAAATTTCGCTGCATGTGCACAAATCAATATTAGGGAATGACACTTCAAAACACAGTTTAATTACGTTCTTGAAAGTTGACACTTGAAAATACAATTATCGTCGAACTAATTAGTTATGTGTATGCTTATTTTAATATTTTAAGAAAGTTGTGGTAATTTTACATTTCAAATCCCTTCAAAAGCAGTTGGATACAAGGTCTAATTTCACCTGGAACAAAATTTACTTGTAAAGAATATTTATGAGATGAAAAATTAAATTAACTTGAATTCGTAAATACCAAGAATGATTTTGGCCAAATAAAAGTAAGAAAGAAAACATTTTTACTTTTGTTCAAAAAGAAAAAAAATTACTTTATGTTAAAAATAAATTATAGATTAATAAAAAAGGAAAACAGAATACATAAGAAGGGATACTTGAAATTAATTTTTCTTCGGTTTTTTTTATAATGAAAAATCACTAGGGCTTAATGATAAGAGGTTGGATAATATGAAGAGTATTATGTTCCAATGCTGTTATAGTATTTTGTAATTTTTATGAGAAAAAAAAACTTATGAAAGAATTTTGTTAAAACAATTAAAGGTTTCAAAACAATGTTAAATAAGCGCATTTATAAGTAAATCAAATGACATATTTTATTGAAAGCTATTTAACATACAATTTCATAAAGAACTATTTTTCGTAAAGAAAAATCTCCTCAAATCAGGTCTCTACCACATTACTTTTCAAACCTAGACTTATGTTAGATCTTCTAATCTAGTGTTACGTTTCTTCTTTCTCTCCTTATTTTTTGCCGTTAAAAAATGTTGTTTCAAATAACATTTTTTGAGTGTAAAATACATCTGGAGAAACCAGAATTACTAGTGTTTTGTTTCTTTTTCCCTCCCCGCTCTATAGGGCCATGTGTTTGAGTTGGCGTACATGTATTTGTCATTTGTGGATCATGGATTACTCTGGCTAGCTCCATGCTACAGCCAGGTTGGTTATTTCCGATAATCTTTGACTATATACTTGGCTACTTTATAATGAATAATTCTATTCTAGAAACCTTTTTTTTTATAACTATTTTTGTAATTAAAAGAAAATAATTTTATAAAGAATCAATTACATGTGGAATTAATAAGTTCATGATCCAAGTGGTATTGGACTAGAATATTTGAAGTAAAGTATAAGTTCAAGTTGTATAGATGGAAAAAAAAAATTGTAAGAGAAGACTTTATTGAACGCAATCATGTTCTTTGAAAGAGATTATTCACAATACTAATGGAGGAACTTTTTAACATCGGTGAATGATCCGAAGTAAATCTAGGGGATATAGTATGTGAGATCTTTTTAGATTAGATAATGAATCGATGTAATTGCTTTACATTGGTTATTGTAAAAAACGATCTAAAAGGTCCCACTTCAGTTTAAATTCTTGGTAGGAAATCTGCACTTTCTGGGTACATTTTGTTGCCAAGTATGAGATAAGAAAGTTCATTGCATTAGATTTCTCAGACAACTTTTAGTTAAAATTTTGACTGGCTTTCTAATCTCAGAATAGTCTTTCTTTGCCATTGAGTGAAATTTAACATCCTACTATGTTTATATTTAACTGATTGAGTAGTAGTGGTGTAATTTAATACATCACCATGTTTATGTATGGATATCCTATCACTGTCAATTTCATGTTATAAACCCTATTAGCATTAGAGATACAAAAGAGAGTTTGATCTTACATGATGCGATCATATTGTTTTATCACATTGAGTATTAAAACGTTAAGAACTAAATTAGACACTCTATCCATAAGTTCTATTACTTCATCATTCAGGTGTCTTTCTTCATCATATAATCTATTTGACAAGGTGAGAATTTATTTCCTCTAGTCTAGTATTGTACAAATTAAGTTGTATCAATTTCTCGTTCCTCTAAACTATCCTGCAAGGAAAGAATCGTCTCCAAAGTACTGAGAACTTCCCCCATAGTTGGCCTATCTACACTTCTATTAGCTAAGCACTGGATGCCTATATCCACAAATGCCCTCAGGGATTCTGGCCTAATACTCCCGTCTAAATGTGGATCAACTAATTGATCAATGATTCCACATTGGTAACAGTGCATGGCCCACATGGCCAACCCAGCTTTCTCACTTTCCTCTTCCACTGCCACAGGATTCACAGCTGGTCTTCCACACAGTACTTCAAACAAAACAATTCCAAATGAATACACATCAGATTTTTCAGTCAGTTTTCTTCTCTTGTAGTACTCAGGGTCTAAATATCCTAACGTACCTTTAACCTCAGTGCTAACATGTGAGTGGAAAAGTGAGGGAACTGTTCTACACAACCCAAAATCTGCAATCTTAGCTATCCAATTCTGATCCAATAATATGTTGGCTGACTTGATATCACGATGAATCACTGGGTGGTTTGTGCCAGTGTGGAGGTAATGTAGTCCTCGAGCTGCACCAACGCAAATCCTTAGTCTTTGATTCCAAGGAAGTGTCTGTTTTTGTTTCTTGTACAAATGATCGCACAGAGGGCCTTGAGCCATGTATTCATACACAAGTATAAGTTCATTTCCCTCTTGGCAGTATCCAAGCAGTGACACTAAATTCATGTGACAAAATGAGAAAAAATTAATCTCATTTTGGAACTCCTTAAATCCTTGGCGAGAACTTGGATTACAGCGCTTTACTGCCACATGAGTAACTCCATCATGCATGATGCCTTTGTACACCTTTCCAAAGCCTCCCTCCCCAATGACAAGAGCTTCACTGAAGTTGCTGGTGGCTATGCTCATCTCTGCTAATGTGAATCGATGGCAATGACCTGAGTTTACGGTCAGTTGAATGTTTTTGGGGCTTCTTTTATTAGAAGTTCCCCATTTCAGTTTTTTCCCCACTCTGCGGATAAGAACGAAAAATGTAAAGAGCAGTCCTAAAATAGTACCTAATGTACTAGCTACAATAATGACATGTGGAACTTTCTTCTTCCTTTGTTCCATTTTCAATGGGAATATTGCCGCAAGACTATGGTTGCTATCACTCAACTTCATGATCTCAATTCCATTCAGTATGGCATCTGCAAATTTTGGTTTTGACTCCAAGTTAGGCTGAAGTGCGATCCACAAGTCTTTCCTTCTCCCATTTTCTGTAGGAACCATAACAACATAGTCCCTATATAAAGGAGTAAATGGTCCACCAGCCAAAGCAACAACGTCCATCCTCTCTTCTGCTATTTGGTTGTTTATGTGCACCTTGAACACTCTTTGATTGACCTGCATTACCGCCATAGAGATCTCACAGAAATGAAGCCTAACAAGGTATTTGAACCCAAAATCAACAGGGAAAGACCATGTTAAGTTGTGCTGCATGTTAGCATCTCCATTGCTACCCATTGTCCTGGCAACCCAATATAGCTCTTCCGGTGCGGAATAATTGTAATCCTTTGAAGTCTCAGTGCTGTAATTCATGCTAACGGTACGAGATTTTATATTAAGGACACTTCCATATTGAGAACCAGTTAGGTATTGAAAATCATTCAACCATGTTCCAAAAGCATTTTCAATATCAGGATTATAGTCATTAGTGATGCTAACTCGGTAAAGCATCTCTAGAGCATATTCATCATCAATGAATAAAGGTTGTTGGTGGCCAAGGTAAGGAAGAGGAAACTTGGAACCATGAAAGTATATATTGTGGGGAACTGGGAATATCTCAATGCCATTTACAAAGGCAAATGCATTGGGAATTAAAGGAGATGGAGTAAGTGTAATGTTTAGTTTCTCTTCCCTAACATTGACTAAGAAATCCTTGGTGAAAAACACCAGGTTGAGCTCTTTTGCAATAACAGAAGGATTAAAATTACTTACTAGAGTGTAAGGACCAGCTTTTAGAGTGAAATAAGCCTCGAAGTGGTTCATGTTGAGATATGAAGATGAGAGAAAGTAAACACGAATGAATTTAAGGCCAGGGGAGGAAGGGAAAGAGTAGGTAAGTAGAGA